CCTTCTCCTATTCCATCACACCTCTCTTCTTTCTCCCGTTTCCCCAACGTTCTTTTCCTTTTCTCTTCCCCCTCCCCTCCCCTCCCCACACGTCTTATCCCTCCCCTTTCTTCCCCTCTCTCACCCTGGCCCCTCCCTCTTCCCGCCCTGCCCTCCTCCCCCCCTCGATTCACGCAAGCAAGATGCACGCTGCAAAAGCACTCTGTCATGTCCTAGTGTTGCGAGGTGGGCGCCCTCACTCAGGCAGCGTTGCCAGCTCGCGAGGGAGGAGGCGAGAGAGAGAGCGCGAGAGGCCGAGAGAAGGTGCAAGAAAACTCGTTCTGGTGGATTTTCTTTCGTGGGTTAAATTTCTGTGGGTATTCAACGATGAGAGGTTAACGACGGAGAGGATTCAAAATTTTCGATGTGGGTATGGACTAGTTTAAATCTGACGGTTGACTTGAAGAGAATTACATGTGGGGTGATTGACGCTGTAAAGATATCACCTTATTGAACGGAATGCACAGCAGATGTCTGATTTCAAACGACAGAAGCGCGAAAGAGTCCGTTAAGGATGAAGCATTAAGCATATTTTGCGAAAACATAAAACAACAACAGCAACAAAAAAAAGATTTTCATAAAGTTACAGTGGACACGTATCGTATATTTCCGAGATATGAAAGTTCAAAGTCACATTCCAATGGATATCAAAAGAATTTAATAACAATAGATGTTTTAACGCCCTGGCAGAAATACGCAAATTTCTTAGTGAAAATATTTGAAAAGGGTTGTCTGGTTTCTCGCCACAGTGATCGTTTGCAGGTGATCCCAACATCGTAAACTCATCCAAGGTCGTTTGTTATTAAAGGAGAGGTTGTTTGCGTCATGTGCTACTTGTTGCCTGTTAACTGCTATTGTAGAGTAATATTCATCACGATTACAAGCTGTAGAGACCACGCAGCCGGCGCAGTTGTCGTCTAACCTATGTATCATTGCAAATCGCTGCTTTGGAGCAATTTCGTAAATAAATTTGTACATGGGATTATTTTCGGAGACTGGCGAACGTTATAAGTATTACTTTTTTGAACGGAAAACAACACGAAAGTTTCCGATACGTTATTAACTAAGAAAGAAAAAGTTATATTTGGCTAGATGACTGACATTCGGTTAAATTACACACGGGGTTACTTAGAAAAAAAATAAAGATTTAGTTCCCCGATATGTTTTTTTCTCCTTTGCCTTCGTGTTTGCCATCAATCATCATCAGTCTTATAATCACGCATAGTCTGCGATTTGTTATTAATGATTTTACGCCCTTTTCTTTGCAGCTTCTGATGGTGCCGAGCTCTCGAAGATCCAAAAAGTGATTGTCATTAGGAATGAGAAGAGAGAAGGTAAGCTCTTTGCTTCAAGGTTAAACTCACACTTGATGAACATTATGGTAATCCTTTTAATCCCCTGTTCTCTGTTCTGCATTAGTTTCATGTTCTTCCTCTCTTGTTCGCCAGGTTTAATGAGGTCACGTGTTCGAGGAGCTGACGCGGCCACAGCTCCTATCCTGACGTTCCTGGATTCCCACTGTGAATGTAATCAGCATTGGCTGGAACCCATGCTGGAGAGGGTGACGGAGGTACGTAGTGTGTGTGGAGTAGGTGTGTATGTGTGGGTGTCTTGGGGAGGGAGAAGAAGAAATAAAGGAAAAGGTAGAGGGAGAGAGATAGAAAGTGAGAGAGAGATAGCTAGAGCGAGAGAGACAGAGATAGTTAGGGAGAGAGAGATAGATAGAGATAGATAGAGAGAGAGAGAGAGAGAGATAGAGAGAGAGATGGAGATAGAGAGACAGAGAGAGAGAGAGAGAGAGAGAGGGGGGAGGGAGAGAGAGAGAGGGGGGGGAGAGAGAGAGGGAGGGAGAGAGGGAGGGAGAGAGAGAGAGAGAGAGAGAGAGAGAGAGAGAGAGAGAGAGAGAGAGAGAGAGAGAGGGAGGGAGGGAGAGAGAGAGATAGAGAGAGGAGAGAGAGAGAGAGAGGGAGAGAGAGGGAGGGGGAGAGGGAGGAGGAAGGGAGGGAGGGAGAAGGAGAAGGAGGGAGAAAAAGAAAGAGAGAAAGAGAGTATCTGTATCTGTACGCGTCTGCATTTCTTCATTTACACATTCCGCTACAGTGGGTATGCAGATTACCACAGGAACCGCTCTCATTGCATCATCACACGACCCCCCCCCTTCCCTCCCCCTCCCCCACCATCCCCAAAGCATTGCGTGACGCCACTACTCTCCATATGCAAATTTCCAAAAGGATGAAGCTCTCCCCCCCCCCCTCCACTAATCAAGGCTCTGATTGGCCAACAGGACCGGAAGCGCGTCGTGTGTCCCATCATCGACGTCATCAGCATGGACACCTTCCAGTACATAGGAGCTTCAGCCGACCTGCGAGGTGGATTTGACTGGAATCTGGTCTTTAAGTGGGAGTACCTGTCCAGCGAAGAGAAGAAAAAGAGGCAGAAGGACCCGACTCAGGTTATAAAG